AACTTTCATGTACGATATCTTAACAACAGAGAAGCAACTCTAAATTTATCAGGAACAAAACTTTCTTTGTTTCGTCATCATGATCTTCACATACTAGAAAATGATTCTTTCCCCTTGCATTTGCGAAGAAAATTGTTCCCCTTCTAAAATATTTGCTTTACTTTATTTCACATTTACTGATTTACACATTGTTGAACCCACTAGGGGGACACAGACATTTTGAGTTAGGGGTATAATCAAACTTGTAAAAAAAATTGCGAAAAATTTTAAATTCGAAAATTTACATAAAAAAAAAAATCATACCCTATTTTATTTTACACCCGAAAATTTACAAGGGCTATGATTTTTTCGAATATAAAGTTTGAAATTTTTTAATGTCATATCCCATAAAAAATATTCTAATAAAATAATGTAAATTATATTGAGAAATTTGTATCGCAAAAAATAATAATAACTGATTTTTTTTAAAGAAAAGACGAGTTATAGGTTTCTTTTGAAGACTCACGTTTGACGCATTTTTAACAATTTTCAATATTTATTTGGACCATTCGATATATCTATGATGTAGTTTTCAAAACAATTTTGAGATGACATGCAATTTTTGGATTCGGTTAGCATACGATCGTCGGAGAATTTTTAAAGTTAACATTGTTATCGAAATTCTTGAAAAACTAGTTTGGAATGACCTAATTTGATAAGTTCTAACATTTGCTACAATTGACCATTTTGTGCGCCATTAACAACTAGAAAATTAGGTTGTGAGTACTTCGAAATGATATTAAGAATGCAATATTTCAACTTCATTTCATATTCTATAATGATTTCGAAAATTGAAACAAAACATAATTGATCCCCCAAAGTTGGTTGCACGTAACCCCATGCCAACCTTTTGCCCCCCTCCCCTCTAGATAGAACAAATTTACCCATTTTAATTTTCATCTTCAACACAGCTACTCACACACTTGCACAATTTTTATAAGGGTAAATAGCACAGAACATCCCTACCTTTCAATGCCATTATGCAAAACGTCCATACATTTCATTTTTTTCCCATTTTCACTTTTATCTTCCACATTTCATTGCGCAAAATGTCATTTTCAACCATTTTTCAATAAAAGACGATTTTACCCTCCTATTCAAA